CCTAATATTGTGGGGCCCAGGGCATCTGCCCCTCCTGTCCCCCCTCTGATATTTACTGAAATTTCAAACAGTGCCAAGTTATAGAATTTACAACTAACTAAAAATAAGAAAAACTGCATAAATTAAAAAATAATGAATAAATGATATATAATAAAAATTCCACTTATTCTTTGTTAATTGATTGTAAAGTTAATGCAATAGGCAAGAAGAATCTTCTTCCAATTAACAATATAACATCCCATTAAAATTGCTGAATATACTTGTATTAAGTAAAATGTAAGATAAAAATTGAATACTTTTAAGTCAGTATCATTGTTAACTTAGAAACACCCGATGAACAGTACCTTGTATACAGCTTTTTAAAATTGGAAATCACTTGCTGATCCATTGGTTGCAGTAATGGAGTTGTGTTGGGTGAAAGGAATTTGACCTTTATGCTCACTATCCAGGTCTTCCTCCAAACTTGGTGGATGTACTGGAGCATTATCCATTAATTAAGAGAAGACATCTAAGAGGAAGATCCATTTCCTGAAGATAATTTTTAACAGTAAGAACAAACATTTCTGTGAGCCAATCCATGAATAAAGTTTGAGTTATCCATGCCTTGTTATTTGCCTTCCATTGTACAGGCACATTTATCACATTATTGCTCTTAAAAGTGCAGGGATTGTCAGCATTATAGGCTAAAAGTGGCATGATTTTCAGATCACCACTTGCATTAGTGCAAAATAAAAGAGTGAGTCTGTCCTTCATGGGGTTGTGCCCAGGAAGTGCTTTCTCTTCTTGGGTTATGTACATTTGTCTAGGCATTTTTTTCCAAAACAGACCGGTCTCATTGCAATTAAACACTTGATTTGAGATGTATTCTTCACTTTTTACAAACTCTGAATTCATCCACAGAGCTGTAACTAGCCATTCCTGTGCCATGTGCAAGAATTTGCATTTAGGCCCCTTAATTTATTTGGTTTTAGGAAAATAATAAAACAAATACATTACAATAGATTTTTAATAAGATTTACTTTAATTGAATTTTTCTGGCTTTCATTTCAGCAAATTCATTAATTACACCTTCATAATTAATATTTTTAACGATATTGTATTCTATTGAAATAATAGAAATATTGGATAATCGTTCTTGTCCGATAGTTGATCTTAAATCATTTTTTATTAAGTTTAACTTGCTAAAACTTCTCTCGCACGAAGCAATAGAAATGAGAAGAGTTAGAAATATTCGAAGAGCAATATTGATATTTGGGTAAGACTCAATTAAACCAAAATCATGAAGAGCCTGTAGAATATTAAGTGGAGATGCGGTTTCTATATTTTGTATAAGAGTCATTACTTCAAAATTAAAACATTCAATTTCACTTGTGAAGTTACTTTTTTAAATCTTTGCTATATTTAATAGCAAGATCTGCAGCCGATTTTTTAAAATCAGCAACACTCATGTATTGTAAAGACGAGCCACAGAGAAAGCAAAAATCGTCACAGATAGTTTTCATTTTTTCATAACGCCAATCTATTTGACACAATAGAGTGTCAAGAACACTGTAAATTTGTATTTTAAATAATTTTTCGGGTGTCAAGTTACTTCCTTCAGCTGGTGTTTTATCTATTTCCATTATCTTAACTTTTTTTTTTTTCGTTTATTAAGAAATCCCTTTTCTATACTTTTTGGTTTGTTTTAAAAATATGATCAATAATAGCATCTGTTAATATTGTTGGCCATAAAGCTATATCATTTATTACTTCCGTGTATCTATATATATATATCGAAGCGTTTTTCTGGACTATTTCTATCTTCTGCGTTTTTGCAATCCCTTTTTCCAGTAACATTTTAAAGACTGCAGGAGCCCCTTTGGGGCCCTACACGCCCGCATAGTTCGCTTACCGCTTAATCCACTGTTCAGTATGCAAACCATATGCATACCACTATAAAGCAAAAAATAATGTCAGAATTTCTGCATGCCTTTTACAACCTCGAGACTATGATTTTATTCGAGAGTTAACATTTTCAATTTAGTAATTTTAAAAAATCCTCGGATAGATTTATTTTTGTTACAAAATGTTACCTTTAGAGATTTCTAGCTCTGCACACTGTAGAAAAATCTAGAAATACAGTTTTGTATATCGTAATAATATTAGTAGTTGCCAGAAAGCTCTATAAAGTAGAGAAAAATCTGTAAATTTGAAAACTATAAACATAAATTTAAATTTCTCAAAAAATAAATTAAANCATGGACTTTACTTATTAATAGGACTTTATACTGGTTTGATTTTAATTTATACAGTGAAATGATTAATTGTAAAAAAGTGAAAGATCCATTTATATTTGGGATTGGAATATGTATTTACAGTAAGTTTTAAAATTGTAATTTATTGGTTAAAGGAAAAATTTTTTAAATTATACAGTAACTTATCTGTTTGTTTGTTGTTACTTTTAGTGTTAAGTGGTAATACTGCTGATGAGGGGCATATTAGCCCGAAACACATATAATATGTGTACAGAAATTATTACTACAGGTGATATAATAAAGAAATTTTGTTCTTTCCTGAACTAACTCACAGTATTGTGCAGATCTTTAGACACCAGTATAAAGTCCTATTAATAAGTAAAGTCCATGTAGACAATTAACAATAAAACAAACTTCATATTTTAAAAAATGTTCTTACTAAATTTGACTAAGGTACAGTACATTAAATACATAGTGATTCAATAAGAGTTGTAGAATTTATTTTGTTAATAAAAACTTCATTTTACCTAGAAATTCAATTTTTATTCGATCAATATAATTCTGAGAGCTGGGAAATTAGGAGTGGAAGAGAATATTATGCAAATAGCTGCTTCTACTTTTCTTGCAAACTGAAAACCTTTAGGCAACATTTTTTGTGACATTGTTCAAGAAGCTTTTATTTATTTTAGATACAATAGGAAAAGTCTAAGACAAGATTTTCATCTCCACATAACAATAAAACCCATAACAAATTTGTGGCTGACAATATTGAGCTTTATTTTGGATATGACTCATCAGATGTTATCTGTCAGGTATTTTGTATCTTCAGGATTGTTGGCATGCACTCTCTTTCAGATAGCTCCAAAGTAAGAAGTCCAATGGTGTCAAATTGCAAATTTCAAGATCTGGTGGACCAGTGATGTCACCATTTTGGGAAATAATGTGACTCGGAGATTTCCTACACAGCAACTGCAAAGTTTCACAAGCTATGTGTCATGTTGCACCACCTCGCCGGAACTACATGCTGATGATGAGTTCTGGCCATAAGAAGTTGGTAATAGTAATCATGTCACAATATCTTTCACCATTCACTGTGAATTTTCAAAAAAAGTTTGGCCCAATAACACCGCCAACTCACATCTTGAATTTCCCAAACCATTTTTTTTTTGGGTAGCACTATATCACACCAATAAAATGATGCCAAATTCAAATCCTGCAATTCTTATTGAATTACCCTGTTTAAGTTAGCTACAATAAAAATTATAAATGTATATAAGTGACACTATAATAAAAAGAAGTTCAATTTACAACTTATAAGCTACATTAATGAGAATTTCTGATGATAAAGTCACTTGTGTTAATTATTGTAAATGTAGATTTCCGATAAAAGACAAAGGCATGCAGATAACCAAAATTTTATCTTAATGAACTTAATCTTGGGTAACTTATCCTGAATTCATTGAACAAACCATGTCATAATATTTATTGTTTTCTAAATGTCCAGACTACTATTCAATTAGAACCATTTGTATATATCAGGGGTGGCCAACACGTAGACCTCGGTCGACCGCAAAGGCTTTGAAAGTAGCTCCTGAAGCTAAAGTTGAACAATTTGCTTTCACTTAAATTAATGTTTAAAAATCTTAATTCGATAATTTATTCTTACAATAATAGACTGTGCAACGTACCCATACTGTTTGTATGTATCATGATGAACAATGCAAATGAATGTTAACGCATGCGCATATAAAAATCCTAAAATTGTTTGCCCATATTCATAGTCGCTAGCAGACTATATTTTACCAAAAAAGAAGCCCCTAAGGAATAAAAGTTTGGCCACACCTGGTGTATATGGATATTTTATGGCTGTATTGAAATTGGTAATCTATGAATAGAATTTGGAGTTGTTGCATTTGGGTAGCTTTGTCAATTGAAATGAATATCAGCTGCTGGATAGAGCCATGGGGGATGTTGAGAGTCATGTTACCTGATTGTACAGGTGGAAGATTTATTGCTTGTAGGTTTGTATGCAATCGTATAGAAATTGGAGATACAAGGGGTGACAATCTATAAAAACAAAACACAGCAACAGTCTTTTGGGTTCTTTTAGAGCACTATCACCAATGACAGTGATACCTGGTTTAAAGGAAAGCTAGAATAGGAAGCTAGAACAAGGAAGAAGAATATTGTACAATCAGTTCTAATTACAAAAAACCTAGCAAAAGGCATGAAGCAAATGTTGTTCATGGATTTTAGAATACTGAAATTTTCAAATATGAAACAACAGTCATATTTGTTTGAATAAAAAAAAATATTGAATGACACTGTTTGCACTTAAAAACTGACAATTTGTATAGGAATGTCTCCAATTCTCAAACAGTGTTGTATGGGAGATTTCCACAATTCTTGAACCATATTGTAGGTATGCCATGCTATACAAGGGATAACTGTATTAATTACTCTTGGGGAACAAAACTCTTCTAGAGTTGTAGAAAAACAGATCATATTGTATTGTCATACCTACTTTCCAGACAACAAAAGTACAATCTTAATAAATAAATAAGTAGAATAACTCATTGTTGATTACCCACAAAATTGAGTTGTTTTTAATTAATTATTAAATCAATTAATCATGATATATGTAAAAATAGATGTAAGGTATTAAATAATATTGATTCCTATATAAAAAAAAATACAAAAACTTTTAAAATTAATTTCATAAACAAAAATCAATTCTACAAAAAATTATATTAATAAATGACATACTTTGTTTCTGAGATAACTTCTACTTCTACAGGGGTAGTAATTGGATTGTTTGAATGATCTGTGACAGGATCTTCATTTGGTAAGTCTCCATTAGTAGATGTTACAACTTGGACTGAACCATGCCTATCAATAGGAGTAAGGTTGCCACCAAGTAAATGTACTCCTGTTTGCTTTGGCTGTTCAATGCATGCAGTTTTTAGTTGTTTTCCTTGCTGCAAAAATATTTCAATTTATTAAAAGTATTGATTGCAATAATTATTATATCATTTTGTGAAAATCCAAAGTTCATGTTTAAAAAATGGAAATCTACCAATAAATGATGATTATTTAATTATCAAATGATATTTGTTAAATTAATATCTTTATACTTTTAATTGGAACAATCTGAATGATTTTATATCAGTATGAAAATTTATTTACTATATATTAGTATTTATAAATTTAATAATTATTATATATTATATATTACTATAATTGATAAAGATTGGTGTATGTAATGACATCATAACCGAAATGATGAATAATTAAAGTGCAAGAATGTAACTTAACAAATAAATATCCTTCACACACACACACACAATCACAAAATGTATATTTATTTCTAATGTATATGCTTACATTAAAGAAGTTAAAAAAATTAATGAATGAAAGTATAAATTTAATTTTAATTTGTTACAATTTAAAATGAGCAATTATGACATCATCACAATGCTAGGGTGTAATTTTTAACTTTTTCAATTTAAAATATGTGCTCTCCACCTCAAATTACTACCCTGTAGTGTGTCTTGGCCCCGTATATCATACTTTTCTGTTAGCAATGGAGCCATTCCAGTCATCTATCTAACTCTTTTCAGGGAAAGATTTTCAAATTGAAATAATGTGGCTTCCAGTTTGCATCAGACATTCATATACAGTTAATAGGGGCCTCCTGCCCCTAAGCTTTCCATATCTAGTTTTGAATTTCATTTATCTAACACCATTCTTGAGATTAAGGAGAGATGGACAGACAGACAACAGTGGGAATTTATAGGTCTACAAGTTTTTCAAATTGCAGCCTAAAATTGAATATAGTATGAACGAACTACAATGAATATAGTAAATTATGATTTGGTCATATTTGACCTATACTGAATAATTTCAACTGTATTAAATATCCAATATAATCATTTTAAAATTTTCTTAAATTATTTATAAAATTTTGAATAAAATTATAAGCAAAATATTTTTATAAGAAATAAATTAGATACTTTTATAATTGTGCTTTAGATTATTTTCATTATTTTATATTTTTGGAATGCTTCTAATTACATATATAGTTAATATACATAACAGAATATTTAAATTAGAATGGTTTTTAAATTTTGATTTTTTGAATTTTGAATGCAAGATATATATATATATATATAGATAAATATGCATTATCCATTTAAGATTAACATTAACATTTATAAATAGTTGAAATCAGGGCATTTCAGAGAAAATGCGAGGCCCAAGGCAACTAATATTTTAGAGGCCTTTCAAAATTTAAAATAAAATTGTGGACAAGAAAATAAAGTCAACGGTATTTAATATTTTTTTGGATTATTACATTTAATTATTTTACAGAAGCTTTGCATGCTTTCACATCAGCAAATTCTCTGATTATTTCAGAATAGTCTAAAATATGCACTATCTGGTAATTAATGTTGAGTGTTGCTAGTCCATTTAATCATTCCTAACACATTGTCAGTCGTAGATAGTTTTTAATTCTTTTCAGAACACTAAATGATCTCTCACCTTCTGCTACACTCACAGGCAAGATTTAAAAAAATTTGGTGGGTGTTTATGGTGAAGACTTCCACCTCTTTCCTCAACTGAAAATGTGGCTAGGAGGGCAGAGGTTCGAGACTAATGACAACCTTCAAAAGAACGTTAAGGCCTATCTCAAGTCACTGGCTGCAACATTCTATGAAGAGGGGATGGAAAAGCTCATCCTTAGATATGACAAATGCCTCAATCTTCACTGTGATTATGTCAAAAAGTAATAATGTTTGTACAGTGGTACCTCAGGTTACGAACGCCCCAGCATACGAAATTTTCAGGATACGACATGAAATTCGAACATATTTTTGCTCCACGATACGAACAAAAACTCACCATACGACGTTACATTAGTTCGCATTTTTCATTTGTTTTTCTTACTACAGTTATTTTTTT